ATAATCGAGGTTGATTCAGTAAAATCGTAACAATATATTGCATCAGCTGCACTGGAATTTTGACGTATGCCACATTGTCTTGTTACTTGTAGCTCGAAGATATTCTGCAAGAAGTTTTATTCCACTTTTTGTAACATACATATACGCAGCAGTAAAGGTAAGTCACTTGTTATATATAACTTTAAAATGGTGTAAGATTTGTATCCCATTTAGTCGAAAATGGAGAATCAAGAGCTGCTTTCGCAATTCCAAGCTCTTGGCATGAGCGAACAAAAAGCTAAGGAAACAATAAAAAATGCAAATGTGACCAAAAATTTGCAACTTGCACTCTCAGAAGTGAAGAACACTGCACTTGGAGAAGGAGTTGGAATGTTGCTATATCATATGGCAAGTAAAATTAAGCCCCAAATCATTCACGAATTGCCCTTAGTCACACAATACATCGTAGAGAAGAAGCTCGATAATACTTTAAGAGTTGATGCAGCACTGGAGTACTTATTGAAAAATATTCAAAAGAAAGGTGCAGTGGTCAACACAAAAGAATTTAATGAATCATGTGGTGTAGGTGTAATTGTCACTCCGGAAGAGATAGAGCGCACTGTACAGGAACACATAAAACTTCATAAAGATATGTTATTAGAACAGCGTTATCATTTTAATGCTTTTAAAATTATGCAGGAAGTACGTGCAAAACTCAAGTGGGCAGATGCAAAATCAGTAAAGGCAGCAATAGATGTAGAAATCTTCGACTTACTTGGTCCAAAGACTGAAGATGATTTGAAACCTCCACCTAAAGTTGAAAAAAAGAAAGAAAAGCCAAGTACCTCTCTTGCAGATAAATCCAGCAATAATGCTAAATTAGCACACCCATCTAATGTAAGTATAGATAGCAGTGATGGAGCGAACACTATTGCTGAATTAATGAAAAATAAAGTGCATTTTCACACACCGGGCGAAAATTACAAAACAGATGGTTATGTGATAACTGATCATACAGAACGTCTATTGAAGGAACATTTAAAACAGACTGGTGGTCGTGTACAAACACGGTTTCCACCAGAACCAAATGGCATTCTGCATATTGGACATGCGAAAGCAATAAACATAAATTTCGGCTATGCCGCTTCCAAAGGCGGTGTCTGCTACCTTAGATATGACGACACAAACCCTGAGAAGGAAGAAGAGAAATTCTTCGTCGGCATACGTGAAATGGTCGAATGGCTGGGCTATAAGCCTTATAAAATAACACACTCTTCCGACAACTTCCAACAATTATACGAATGGGCAGTGGTCCTTATACGAAAGGGTTTGGCATATGTCTGTCATCAGGGCGCAGATGAAATGAAAGGATTTAACCCGAAGCCGAGCCCATGGCGTGAGCGTCCAATTGAAGAATCACTACAACTATTTGAAGATATGAAAAACGGAAAAATTGATGAAGGGACAGCAACCCTTCGTTTAAAGCTAACTTTAGAAGAGGGTAAAGTCGATCCAGTTGCCTACCGCATTAAATTTGTACCGCATCATCGCACTGGAAATGACTGGTGAGTTTATAACTAAAAATAAAAACTTTAGGAATACATGTAATATTTTATTTCATTTATTTTATTTAGGTGCATTTATCCAACATATGATTATACTCACTGCCTTTGTGACTCTATCGAAAATATTACTCACTCACTTTGCACTAAGGAGTTCCAGTCACGTCGATCCTCGTATTATTGGCTTTGCAATGCTTTGGAAATTTATTGTCCAGTACAATGGGAGTATGGTCGTCTTAATATGAATTATGCTCTTGTATCCAAACGCAAAATTGCTAAACTAATCACGGAGCGTATTGTCAATGATTGGGATGATCCACGCTTATTCACATTGACGGCATTACGTCGCCGTGGGTTTCCCGCCGAAGCCATTAATAACTTCTGTGCTCAAATGGGCGTCACTGGTGCTCAAATATCAGTTGACCCGAGTATGTTGGAGGCAGCGGTACGTGATATACTTAATATAAGTGCGCCTCGGAGGCTTGTCGTTCTTGAGCCACTTAAAATAACTCTAATCAACTTTCCGCATGATAAACCTACCGAAATAGAAGTACCTAACTTCCCGCAGAATCCTGACGCTGGTTGCCACCACATTTTGTTGGATCGTGTTGTTTACATAGAAAAAAGTGATTTTAAATTGGATCCCGAAAAGGGCTACCGTCGCCTTGCTTTAGACCAACCTGTTGGATTGCGGCACGCCGGCTTAGTTATATATGTTAAAGAAGTGAAACAAAATCCTCAAACCGGCGAAGTTCTTGAACTTATTTGCGAATGTAAACTCGCAGAACAGGCGGAAAAGCCCAAAGCATTCATACAGTGGGTCTCTCAGCCCATCAAAATAGAAGTGAGACTTTACGATTTATTATTTAAGCACAAAAATCCAGAAGATACCAATGAAGTGCCTGGTGGTTTTCTTTCTGATATCAATGAAGATTCCTTGTCTGTACTGGAATCATATGCTGACCGTGCATTATCGAATGTGAAGGTGTACGACAAATTCCAATTTGAGAGAATTGGCTTCTTCTCAGTAGATCCAGATACCACTGAAAACCACATTGTTTTCAACCGCACTGTAGGATTGAAAGAAGATGCTGGCAAGAAATAAAATTTCGAGCTTGAATTTGACGCACATTGAAAAAATTTTTTAAACGAGTTTAATATAAATGTAAAAAATTTACACGTTTTTTTTTTATTTATTTTTATTTCTTCCCCTCCACCATAATGATGTGGTAACCAAATTTCGTTTTAATGGGAGGGTCTGTATACACTGGATTATTTACGTTTGATATGGGCAACGCAAAGGCGGCATCTTGGAAAGGGCCCACCATGGCACCGCGAATTTGCCAACCTAAGTCTCCACCCTGTCGTGCTTTATCTTCACTATATGAAGCTGCTACTTCGGGGAACTTTTGACCGGCCTTTAACTTTTCTAATGCCTCCAGAATTTTACCTTGCTTTTCGCAAAGAATATGCCGCACTTTTACGGCATTTCCTCCCTTCTTTTCTTTGCCTGTCATAATATAAAAACAAAAATATATTACAGTCGGAGCGAAATAAAAAAAAATTAAAATTGTTGTATACCTTTATCTTCACCGGCTGCTCCAGCATTTTTCTTACTACCTGAAGCTTTTCCGTCCTTACCACCGCCTTTTGCATCCTTTTTTGGTGGCATATTTTCAATTGTTTATCCTATCACAAATTATTAACTAAAAGGAGGTATGAAAATTTAAGGTTATTTCGTTTGGCAGCTGACAGCAAAGCTGCCACAATGGTCAAATTTATAATTCAGATCAAGGCGAAAACGCAAAGTACTGTTGCGAAAATGCGAGGCGAATGTCAGATGAAAGAGAGAAGCCGATAACACAAGAACCTTCCATAGCGAAAAATTCGATGCTTCTACGCTTTCGTCTGCGAGCAGCCGACTGCTATATAAAGGCGACACTCAGCTGCAAGTCAAGCAGTGACAAAGCAAATTGGTTGGCGTTAACATCAGTGAAGACGTAAAGTGAACGCGTTGGGAATTACATTTAAGTAGAGGAAATTGTGAAAGTTGATGTTAGTGATTATAAATAGTAAAGTGCAGTATAATTGAATTGTGAATTACTGAGAAAATAAAGGACATTAGATAGAATCTTTATAACGAAAGAAACTGCAAATTAAGTTGGCGAGTTTTTATTTAACAATCCAGAGATCGTACCCGAAGGATCTAGAAAATAATCGAGGTTGATTCAGTAAAATCGTAACAGTACATATCAGATTGTGGCGAAAAAGCCAAATACCGATAACTAACGCTTGGGCTCTGTCTAGAGGGTAATTAAAGAAGAACATTAGAGCGTGAATATAAGAGCGACAGCCAATCAGTATATTTAGTTGAGTTTGGAACTCAGTGGTGAGAATATGTTATGTGTTTATGGAGAGTTGCATAGAGAGGAAACTATGTGCTTATAACGGTGTAAAGACCTGGCTCTCGCGGGAACAATTGGATTTTAGTCGCCTCTCACGACAGGCATGCCTTACCGCGGGTAAATTCTTGAACCCCTAACCCGCAGGGGTATTTTGAGATTATTAACAACCAGTGATTGAACTTGAAAGATTTGGGAAATCAGGCTTGTTATAATGAGAACAATTATTGTTATATAAATCGAAAGGATTAAAATAGAATATGATCAAGATTCACGTTTTAACGATATTGCACCTAAAAAAAATAATTAACATAGCGAGTGAAAGCGAAGGCGTTGACATGAACTAATACGACGAATAGACTACGTTGATTAAATTGTTCACAAATAAGTAATAGTACAACAATTCCGGAATCTTTTATTTAGCAGTCCAATGTTCGAACTCAAAGGATTTAAAAAACCATCGATGCGTATTTAATCGGAATCGTTTCAAAATGGAATTATCGATATGATATCGATTGGTTTTTCAATCATTTGCATGTGTTTAACCGTCTATGAAGATTAAAGCACGTTCTTTCGGTTATTGTTTTGTGATACAGTGAAGTTTTGTGATATTAAATTTTATTATTAAATGAAAAAATGGGTACTGTAAAAACTATGGAAATAGATATGCTTCCAGGTGATCTGGAATTTGGAGTGTTTTCAAGTGAAGAAATAAAGCGACTCAGCGTCGTCAAAATAATAACGGGCTTAACTTTTGATCCACTTGGCCATCCATTGCCTGGCGGCTTGTATGACAATTTAATGGGCAGCTATGGTCGACGAATGGAACCATGTTCTACTTGTTTCAACATTCAGGCCTGTCCTGGACATATGGGACATATTGAATTAAACGCTCTGGTGTTTAATCCATTTTTTATAAAGCTAGTACAAAAAATGTTAAGCGTATTTTGTTTAAACTGCTTTAAGATACAATTGAAAGGTACAAATTTATATGAAATTAAACATACTTAGGTGTATAAAATAAAATTAAAACATTTTTCAATTTCAGATCACGTTTGCCAAATTCTTGCACTTCAACTACGCCTGATAGATGCGGGATATGTGGTCGAGGCACAAGAGTTGGAAATATTTAAATCAGAAATAGTTTCCCAAAACGAAGAGCATTTAGTGAAGCTTGAAGGTGGAGATTACGTCCATCCCCGGATAGCGGCCATGTTTGAACTCCTAAAGAAAGGTAATACAAATAGAAATTTTTTCAGTTATTTGTTATTAAACAACTATGGGTTTAAAATTTAGGTAAATCTAATGCTTCTAATAATACGAAAACTTCATGCGGAATACGCTCGGCCTTAGTGCATGCAGCACTTCAACGAGTTCCCTTTAAGAAATGTATTCACTGCCAAAAGCCACTCCGTAATATTCGCTATTTATATCGCAAATTGGTATATTATATAACAGCAGCAGAGATGAAAAATATGTAAGTTTATGTTTTAACTATTTTGGTTTATTAGAAAATTTTATATTATATATTTTTTAGCATGCCAGAGGTACAGCAAACCGTTGGACAAAATAAATCTATTTTTGCCGACGAATGCCGCAAGTTTCTGAGGCAAATATACGACAATTATCCGGAATTGTTGAAACTTCTGTTTCCTCTATTGAAATTAAATGCTAGTGGTAATATTTGCCCTGTGGACATATTTTTCATGGACACAATACCTGTTATACCACCAAAAGCACGTCCACCCAACATATTACATGATCAGATTGTTGAGCACCCTCAAACTGGCATTTACAGGGCAATAATTGAAAACAACGCTGTTTTACGTGTGGTTATGAAGCATCTTAAGGGCCTTAGAGAAGAATTGCCGGATGAAGCGCAACGTGTATATGAAAGTACTAGAGGAAAATCACCATATGAAAAGCTGTATAATGCTTGGCAATCTCTTCAAACATCAGTGGATTTGTTGTTAGATATAACTGCTAGCAGAGATTCACCTTCAAATCAAGGTCTCAAGCAAGTTTTAGAGAAAAAAGAGGGGTTAATACGTAAGCATATGATGGGTAAACGTGTTAACTATGCGGCAAGAACAGTTATTACGCCCGATCCAAATATAAACGTTGAAGAAGTGGGTATACCTGACATTTTCGCACGCAAGCTTAGTTATCCAGTACCAGTAACACCTTGGAATGTCGCCGAGTTGCGTAAAATGGTGATGAATGGTCCAGACATCCATCCTGGGTATGGAATTCGATTTAGTATAACCAACTTTCGTCTAATATAGACATATTTCAATTATAGAGCCAATTATATACAAGATGAGAAAGGTTACACAACACTTATACCAGCAGATAATGCTGCAAAACGTGAAAGTATGGCTAAGTTGCTTTTTAATTATCCTGAAAATGGTATAAAGGTGGTGCATCGTCACGTTCTTAATGGTGACGTACTTCTACTCAATCGTCAACCGTCTCTTCATCGACCTTCAATAATGGCACATAAAGCACGCATTCTACCAGGCGAAAAAACTTTCCGGTTGCATTATTCAAATTGTAAAGCATATAATGCTGATTTCGATGGTGATGAGATGAACGCTCATTTCCCTCAAAGTGAAGTAGCGAGGGCAGAGGCATATAATCTTGGTAAGAAAATTAACTTTAAGTAGCGTAAATTATTTAAATTACCATGACCCTGCGGGTAAGTAGGTCAAGAATTTACCTGTGGTAAGGCATGCCTGTTGCAAGAGGCGACTAAAATTATGTAGTTCCCGCGACAGTCGAGTCTTTATACGGTAACGAAGGATTTTTATCCTGCTAAGGACTGTCACTCGCAATATTCTCCGAAAAACAATTCGTAGAATATTTTGCGGTTACAACAAAAACATTTAAATACCCATTTATTTCGTCTTGATGATAATGATATTTTTTAGTAAACGTTGCGAGCAACTATTTGGTGCCTAAAGATGGCACACCTTTGGGTGGTTTGATTCAGGATCATGTTATATCAGGTGTAAAATTATCAATACGAGGTCGCTTTTTCAATCGAGAGGATTATCAACAATTGGTTTATCAAGGTCTTTCACATTTACGACACAAAATTAAACTTCTTCCACCGACAATTCTAAAACCAACCGTTCTTTGGTCCGGAAAGCAAGTGCTTTCGACAATAATCATTAATTTAATACCCGAAGGGTATTCACGAATCAATTTGCATACGCAGGCGAAAATAAATTCAAAGGTAAATGCTTACTATCCTTTTATGACGAATAATTAAAAAATATTTTAATTTTTTTAAGCAATGGGTTGTCTCTCCACCACACGTAGCTGCGTGTGCTGCACTGGGTGGCGGTGATTTATGTGAGAGCAATGTTATAATTCACAAAGGTGAACTTTTAACCGGAGTTTTGGACAAACAACAATACGGCGCAACAACTTATGGTTTGATTCATTGCATGTATGAGGTAGGTATATTAAAAATTTTTAAAAGTTAAGTAAAGTATTTAAATATCTGATTTGTTTACAGTTATATGGTGGCGAGGTATCAACACATTTACTGACGGCCTTTACAAAAGTTTTCACATCATTTTTACAACGAGAAGGATTTACACTTGGCGTACAGGATATATTAGTAACCGCTAATGCAGATGCACAACGGCGCAAAATCGTCAAGGAGAGTCGCAATGTAAAAACCAATCTTTAAAAAAATCTCTTGAAATTTTATTGTATAATTTTATTTTGAATTGACTTTATATTAGGTTGGTGATTCGGCCGTTGCTGCTGCATTAGAGCTTGAGGAGATTCCTTCACTTGATGTGCTTGTTGAAAAAATGGAAGACGCCTACATCAAAGATCCCAAGTTTCGTGTTATTTTGGATCGTAAATATAAAGCTTTACTAGATGGGTACACAAACGATATAAATCGCACTTGTTTACCTGATGGACTCATATCGAAATTTCCACAAAACAATTTACAATTAATGGTACTATCCGGTGCTAAGGGATCCATGGTAAATACTATGCAAATATCTTGTTTATTGGGACAAATCGAGTTGGAAGGCAAACGTCCACCATTAATGATATCCGGGAAGTCGTTGCCCAGTTTTACTTCATTCGAAACTTCACCAAAGTCGGGTGGCTTCATTGATGGCCGGTTCATGACAGGCATTCAACCACAAGATTTTTTCTTCCATTGTATGGCAGGACGTGAGGGTCTCATTGATACTGCTGTAAAAACATCACGTTCAGGCTATTTGCAACGATGCCTGATTAAACACCTCGAAGGTCTGACTGTTGGCTATGATATGACGGTGCGTGACAGTGATAGCAGTGTCGTCCAGTATCTTTACGGCGAAGATGGATTGGACATACTCAAGTCAAAATTCTTCAATACAAACTTCTGTACGCAATTTTTAGCGCTTAATTATACATCAATCATTCATTCGAAAGAGCTGCAAAACATTAAAGATGAACAGACGCTGCTGAAAATTTCCCGACATGTTAAAAAAATTCGCAAATGGCATAATAAACGTATGGAAAAACAAATTCCAGGAGAGGCTAAGAGAATACGGTCGGCATTTGCTGAGTTTTCAGGAGATACTCCTACAAAAGTGAATTCACTTGAAGTAAATCCAAAAACAGGACGTAGCATTGAATATGATTATAAGAGAAAACTTTGGCGAAAAGCAGATGAGGAAACAAAAGAGCAATACAGGAAGATTAGCACACGTTGCCCTGATCCCACAACAGCCATATATAAACAAGACAACTGTTATGGTAGTGTGTCTGAACGATTGGAGAAAATAGTAGAAGAATATAAGAGAAAATATCCTAACAGTAAAGCGGCAATTGACGACATAATATATATTAAAAACTTAAAGGCGTTAGTTGCGCCCGGTGAACCTGTTGGATTACTAGCCGCACAGTCGATTGGCGAACCGTCCACTCAGATGACATTGAATACCTTTCATTTTGCCGGTCGTGGTGAAATGAATGTGACTCTCGGTATTCCACGCCTTCGTGAAATTTTAATGTTAGCTTCTGCTAACATTAAAACACCCTCAATGGATATTCCAATTAATTTAAATCAAACAAAAAATGCCGATAAGCTGCGGATTAAGTTGAATCGAGTTACGTTGGCGGACATACTGCAATGTAAGACAATTTCTGTAAAAAAAAATGCATTACTTATTGTTAAATTATTTATTTTGCAGTTGTTAATGTGAAGACCAAACTGGTGCTAAGACCTGAGCGTGCATATCAATATAAGTTACGGTTCCAATTCCTTCCACGCGAAGCATATCAGGACGATTTCTGTGTTCGACCAAAAAAAGTACTGAAATATATGAGTCAAGTTTTCTTTAAGCTTTTGTTCCGTGCCGTTATAAAGTCGTCAAAAAGCAGAGCGACTTTGTAAGTAGAATAATGAGTAAAGGTTTAAGTAGCAAGCTATATTTTTGTCCATTTATAGAATCGATGTAAGCGAGGACAAAGGTAGCAGCGATAAAAATTTGGATGAGGACGATTCGAGGAATGAAACGGGTGAACAATCTAGGAAAGGAAAATCTACGAACTCAGTTGAAGTAGACTCCTCGGATGACGAGAATGCTGTAATATAGCACAAAATTATAAAATATAGAGGAAACATAAATTAGTTTTTAAAAATTTTAGAATGACGATGTTGATGCTACGGGCACTAAGTTAAAGTCCCGAAAACAAGACGAAACAGAATATGATGACCCCGAAGATTTGGAGGAAATCCAAGATGCGGGTGATGACGATGAGCTAGTAGATAGTGAGAATGAAGATGAAGATCAACAAGATAGTGGGAAGACAGATACGGTTGACGCCATGACTGAAACCGTATTGAGTAACGACATGGTACAGGAATATACCTACGACAAAGAAAAACATCTGTGGTGCAAGCTCACTTTTAATGTAAGAAATAACACATAAAGTATTGATTATTAATTTCATTTCTATTTAATTTTTAGCTCAACATGAAATACAAGAAACCAGATATATCCTCTATTATTAGAGAGTTGGCTGGTAAATGTATTGTACATCAAGTCCAGAATATAAAGCGCGCTATAATATATAAAGGAGAAGATTCTCAACTCCTTAAAACTGACGGTATTAACATTGTTGAAATGTTTAAATATAACGACATTCTAGATCTGAATCGTTTATATTCCAACGATATCCATGCTATTGCCAAAACATATGGCATTGAGGCAGCAGCTCAGGTTATCATTAAAGAAGTGACAAATGTTTTCAAGGTTTACGGCATTACAGTGGATAGGCGACATCTTTCTTTGATTGCGGACTATATGACTTTTAACGGCAGTTTTCAACCACTTTCACGAAAGGGAATGGAGCATTCGTCTTCACCATTGCAACAAATGTCATTTGAATCTTGCTTGCAATTTTTGAAAAATGCCGCGGGCAGTGGGCTCGTAGATGAGCTCAACTCACCATCAAGTCGTTTAATGGTTGGCTTGCCGGTACGAAATGGGACAGGTGCCTTTGAGTTATTAACTAAAATTAATTAAACACAAGACAATAGGTTACAAAAAATAAAGTTCTAAGAGTTTGTATAATTAGATTTTTATTTATTTTTGTTTTTATTTTCTTTGTCACTTTTGATTTAACGCAGGAAAATAACGATATTAGTTGGTTTCTAACATCTTTATTTTGTTAGTCTGATTCTCCCGAGCTACTAAGGTAACTTGACAGCAACGACAATCCTCCCTTCATATTTTCGGCAGGTTTTTCATTTTCTATTTTGTTTGACATATCACTTGCTGATAATGATATTGTTTGGTTGGATCCTTCATTATTAGGTTCAGCAGGTATTTTACTATTCAATTTAATTAAGTCTGACTTTGATGAACTATTAGCTTCGTTTTGTGGCTTTGACTTTGGAATGACAAGAGGAGTTTTGCGTTTTACGAATGTCATAGATTTTAAAGTCGAGGTTTTGTTTCTAGAAATATTTTCAGCTATGCTCACATCCGGATTGCTGAGCTTCACTTTTTTAACTTCGCTCGGTGTAATAGTTTCATCTTTAATTTCTTCAATAATTTCTTCAGCAACTATTTTTTTACTAATTCCACTTTTACTTCCCTTAAAGTTTATAGACCTAAAATGACACGAAAACGTAAAAAAATATATGTGCAAGGGAATAAATTTGTTGACCTTACTTTACAAAGTCTTCATCTTCCTTTTCTTCACGCTTTAGTCTCTCTTGTTCCGTTTCACTACTATTGTATTGTTGGAGCATCGTCTCATAATCCACATTGTGTTGTCGTCGATTGAGATCTCGTAATTCTTCTAATGATTCAAGCATTTCAATTTCGTTGCGTGATTGCTGGGTGCGATTTTCCAGTAACTTCATTGGATTGTTGGCTTCCTCTTCACGTTCCTCCTCTGTGTTGTTAAGATATAAATTTGGCTGAACTTAAAACAATTATTAATAAACTTGCCTATTTGCCTGCGAGCTTGCTCCTCTGCCAATTTTAGTGCCATAAAATTGCGTGTTGCTCCTGCTTCAATTTCATAATCAGTGTTCTTCGGATCCGTTTTGAAAGAAATTTCTTGCAAACATCTTGTGCATTTAATATAAAAGCGGTAAATACGAATTCCTAAATAAGTTTCATTTTCTACATCCTCTTTTCGGGCGTTGAATTTTTTTCCTTTATATATGTATTCTCCACATGTCTTACATCTCATGTTAAACGGGGCCATTAAACGAACTGTATATTGGCGATTTTTGGCCAATTTCATGCGAGGAATCTTTGACGGATCAAAGTCAGGTGGATAATATTTCTAAAAATAAAGAAAAAAAATTAGCATTTTGTCATTGGGAATTTAAAAACTATTACTTACGTTTAACACTTTACGCTCAGACATTTTACTTAAAGTTTAAAAACTTAAACACGTATAATGTTCTTAAGACCTATTTCTTTTACGTAAATCTTTTAAAAAAATTTTGATAAATTAGAAAAGTGTGTAAATGAAGAATTTAATTCTGCGATGTTTACAATTGATCAAAGTAATAATGAGTAATGTAGGAATAATGATCGATAACATTTTTAATCGAATTTTTTAAAAAGCCTTCAATCTGAGTGACTGATGCGAGTACCGAATGTTCCGTATCCGTAAGAGCATCTAAGAAATTTCCAAATCTTAGCACGAGCAATTGGTGAGATATATACATCAGATTTGGAAGTTCTTTACTCGGTCAAGGCGTTAAGACCCATATGTATAACAGAGTTTGGTAGTACAAGAACATGGAAGTATCACTTAACTTTGGTTATAATGGCATACAGTAGCTAGCGAGAGGTGCTAGAAGACAGCGAACAGCACACACAAAAGTTAGAGTCAGTTGTGTGGCGAAGATTGATAGAGCTGAGCGAAATTCTACACAGTACGTATTTATTACAGTTCGGGTTCTAAGTGAATTTATTAAAAAATCTTCGAAGAGATAATGTTGGTGCAAAGCAAAGTATGGAGATTTATCTGAAACAATGCCATTGGCAATAAGAACATGGCGGAAAAAATAAATGCCCCAGCAACAGACATATCTGGTTGTTTGGATAGTAGAAGGGAAACTGAAGTTGGCCAGCGCTCCCGCAACCTAATAAGTTTATTAAAACCTGTAGAATTGAGAAATAGCGCAATAAAGTGAAATTCCAGTGCTCGAACTTGAAGGATTTATGATTAGCGAAATCGTTACATATTTTAGGCAAAAATGCCAAACGAATATGTTGTCGATAACGAAAGCGTGTATTTTGAATATTCGTTATCAAGAACGATTAAACAGAACCCTCTAGAGATGGATGTGTAAAATCAATAGGTTTTTAAGAGCGGTAACTAATATGGCAACATATTCAGCTCTGTAATAAGCTCGGCATGAACGACACAGATGTTGTGTATAACTATTGAAAACTGATTGCATACAGGAGAATTAAGAGTTGTATAGTTAGTAAACTGTGTATTTTCAAAACAGATGCTGAACATAGAATCTTTGGACTTTTATTTAACAACTCACTTTGCGAAAAGTTCTACTTATTTTATACTGAATTTAGCAAATTGTGAGGGCGTCATCTAGATTCGAAACTTTCTGTTTTTTTCTTTACAGTAATCGACCTTCTTTAAATTCGTTGGCAACGCTTCATTGGCCGTGATTGTCGGAATCAATTTTTGGTATTGTCGACAAGACGTGTGGTTTTCTGAGAAAAATTAAGTATAATATTATTTGAACATCTGCTAAAAGCTGAAAAATAGGTAAGATTGTAAAAAATATATACATTTTTTATATAAAAAAACTGTTTTGAAGAATATTTAATGGCTTTCCGAAAGTACCATTATTTCACAATCTACGAAGAAATGAAGTTGTTTAACTGGCCAGACAAATCGACATATGAAATAAAATGTTCACAAGTGACGAATTATTTATTGTAAATATAGACTGTATAATCCTTTTTATTGAATGCAGAATTGAAATGAATTTGTGGTGACTATAGGTCGTTTTATGCAGTTTGAGGAAATTTTTTTTATATGCGAAGTCATTGGTATCGATTTTTTTCGTTTCTCATAAGTACATACCAGGTCGTGTTTTAGGTGTTTTTGTGTAGATTCTGAAAACTCATTTCCCCATTTGGACTTAATATATAACAAAAAAAAGTTTCACTTTTTATAACATTGCGGACTCTTCAGGCATATTTATTTTAAAATCAATTGTATAATTGAATGTGCGTTACAGCTAGATTTGTAATTTTTCTTATTAGCCTAGTATTGAATGTGCATGCCTTATACCCTTTGCTATTAGTAGACAGTTCTGTTATATGCAACAACCAAACAGCCCCCATTTTGCTCTTTATCGTGTGTGCATAACGATCTGCAAAGTAAAGCTCCAGCGCAAATGGCGTGTCTTGGCTCCATGTGTGTCAAGTCCGTGTGCTTATTGTATTTTGTGTTGTTCAGTCAGCTCGTGCTTGCTCGCATTTACGTTTTGTTTCGTTTTCAGTTGTTCGTCTGCTCACTAAGAAATCCCAATTTTATTTCTCATTAATAATTGCCAAACATACACATTTTATAATTATGGGTCAGATTTTTTAATTATATTTATTTGTTTTATATACATCTTAGTTTTTTGTAAACAAAAAAAAATATTTACTTCCTTAATATCGATATAATTCCACTTGAAACTGTTTTTTTTTAATGAAGCAATGGTTTCATTAAAACCTGTTTGAAATATTGTCTACCAATATGTATTTGTTTATGTACATATTTTGCTATTCGAAAAGGTCTTAAGTAGTATATGCTTAGCATCAACAAATAATATTGATATAATAAAAACATTTTTTTAAGAAGTTTGGAAGTGTTAATATTTCCAGAAGTTTTGCATACACCAAAATATTTCTAAGAATATTTCTTCTTATAGTATTTCTTCATATAATATTTTATTGTTACTACAATACAAAGGTAGGCTAACATAGAGTTTATAAAAACACTTTGAATTAATACATTTGTATATATGTATGTATGTATGTAGCTACTATAGAAGCCGAATAATTGTTTTGGACTTCAACATTTGTTGGATAAAATGCAGAAAACACAGACAGACTTTCAAACGAATTTGAATTTTGTTTTTCTTCTTTTCCTTCTCCTTTATATGTAATACACAATAACAGATGAATGGAACTCCCAATCTCAAGCTACATATAATAGCAAATATATAATTTTCCGTTTGAAGAAGCAGAGGTTATATCGATAAACACACAATGAAGTTTCGGGCTATGATGCAAGATCCTGAGTACATGCGAGAATTTCTCTACATTGTACAAACATTATCAAAATTGGCGAAGACATGCGTAATGAAAATCTCTATGGACAAAGTTTACTTTGTGGCGAACGAGGAATCTGGCAGTGCGGCACCATTAGTATGGGTTGAAATTAATCCAAAATTATATTTTTCTGAATACACCATGCAGGGTGTCGACAGTGAACATGATCCACATATTGTACTAAGTGTACCCACTCTAAATTTAGGCACTGCACTCTCCTTACTTCGCAATAATCCATGCTTTTGCAAATTAAAATTGACAAATCTACAATTTCCTTGTCTAACCGTCGACATTGATGCTACAACTAAGAGTTCGTCTGATAAATCGCGTCGGGCTATGCATCATGTACCGGTGGATGTGATACCACGTTGTGATTGGCCGAATTTCGCTGTACCTGTTGTACCCGATTGTAAATTGGTGTTGAATATGCCATCCAACCGTTTGATACGTGGCTTAATAGATAAAATAAAAAATCTTTCACCGACTATAATTTTTTATGCCACTTCAAGTGGTGAGATGAATTTAGTAGCCGAAACAGATATGGCAACAATAACAACACGTTATCAAAATCTTGAATTACGTGCTATAAATATCAGCGAAGGTGACAAAGATAAAGAGCAAATAGAAGCTTCTTGCTCGGTGGACTGCAAAAAGACTGCTTTATTTTTCTCGGCACTACAAGTACCATCCAACGAATTGTCATGTGGCATAGTTGATGATCAACTCATACATTTGGAAGTTAATATACGAGATGGTATAGCTATTCATTCCAAATTGCCGGCAGTATGTGTGTGAATATCAACTGTTTTTGATGTTTATTACCACCGCAGTGTTCCTTATAACATTCGATAGGGTTATTGAGACCATATTGCACAGTTGATTTATAGTACATAATTATCAATAGTTATGCATAATAATGCACAAATATATTTTTTAAAATTATCATTCATTAACTGAATATTTTAAGGATGTACGACTATTAAAGACTACAAATTATTTGGATGAATAAATATATATTTATATAATTTAAGCCGTACTATTTTGCATTTTATGTTGTAAATCTTGGCTAAAGTATTAAAGGATTTTTTATTATTATTTTTTTAAATGAAGTTAAATTAGGCCTCAAGTAATGCATCGGTAGGAAATATATGTGTATACATACATACATACATTTATATATTGTTTTATTCATTTTCGTTTTTAAACTTATTTATAAATAATAAGGTCAGTTAGTGTCTTTCTGAATTGGTTTTTTTTTTGCAGATTTAATTCACCGTAGTATATTTATTTCGATTTATCGCAAAAATGACAACGGTAAAATCCGACTAATTTTTAGTTGAGTGAGTTCTTTCTTTTCAGGTTTCTATTTTAAAATGCATAAAAACATAAGAAATATTATTTAAGAGCTATTGAGTAATGCCTTGCACGTGGCTCGGCAGTATACTGAGAACTTCAGCGACGAGTTAAGGAAGATTAACTAAAATTCTTCAACCGCGGTGGGGTACTACTCTGCAATGCGGCGGTGGATGAACTCGCCATCAGTTGACCATTTTTCTTGATATAACGTTCGCATGTGCCTTTTAAGTATTATAAACAGGAAATACATAAAACTGAAATTGAATCAGTTCGTTTTTTCCAATCCTCGAAACACTTCCGAAACTCTTTTTTATATCGCCAATAGCTCCCGTTTCGATTTTTCTTTTATCTCCTCAATCGTAGCAAAACGAGTTCCTTTGATTGGTGTCTTTAGTTTTGGGAAGAGGAAATAGTCAGCGGGGGCCAAGTCCGGCGAATACGGTGGTTGAGGCATGATAACGGTTTTGCATCATGGTGCAAAATGGCAAAAATGCATTGTGATTGACATCTTCTCCGCCTTAAACCGGTTATACCATAATTGAACTTGTGTTCTGCTCATAGTAGACTCGCCAAACGCCACAGTCAACATTTCAAATATCCTTGCGCATTTAATTTCATTTTTTGCACAAAACTTTATACAGTTTTTTTGATCCGTTTTTTCGAATCGTAAAAAAATCGAAGAGCACACCAAAAACACGACTAACCTTTTTACCTATCAAAAGCAAACCAACAATCCAAAGTGGCTGATATAACCAACATATATAACAGACATATGCACCAACATAACAGAAAAAAAGCGAAAATCGAACATGAGTAACTCACGAAATTTGAAAATAATTCATATTTTCTGATCACACCTCGTACATGTATGTGGTCCTAGGAAACGCAATGTTATTAGATTATACATTTTCTATGGGCTATGTCTACTTTTGGAGTACTCTCTTGTCGTCATGGAGTATATGTATGTATGTATGTATTTTTCTCGTATATATATATATTGATTTAGTAAAATCGTAACAATATTATATATGTGTGGGGTACACCCGTTTTTTTTGCAGGGTTATTCTCATTCAACAAAGAAGAGTACATTTATTGCTCTCCCAATTTTATTTTTGGTATTGAGACAGACAACTAATCATGAATGTTTGTTCTTGGCCACTCGCTTCCATGTTGTTAAACATTTATTTTGCTTATTGAGTTTCGTCTTTTATTCACTTCATTTTCAACATTTTCGTATTTAACTCGTTTGGCAATGGGCATGGACAAGTTTCTTTATTTACTGTTGCTGTTATGGTTATCAATGCTTTGTTCACTTACATACTTATCTGTGTATGTATGTTAGTATGTTTGATTCACCCATATATATGTATGTACAGTGACTTACAGCCGAAGTGATGCAGCTGTGTAAGAAATAGTAAAATAAAATTAAAAAAAAAACATGAATGTCAGTTAATAGCGGCAGATATACACATTTCATTTATGTTTTTAAAATTTAAAATATAAAATTTTATATTATTTTTTGTAATTACCAACAAAAACAAACTTCAGTATTAAATTATACCTCACAGCGAAAATGATGCACTGTTATATTCGGCGTCTCGTCGACAATTTTTGAATTCAAAATAAATACCGCTATAATCGCGTGCAAACCTGGTTCAATATGAGATAATTTTGACATTATAGTAATTACTTTGGTTGAGTGTAGATGAAAATGGGGCGCCACACATATCGCATTGAAGTGCGCGAATACGGAAATGGCGAAATTGAGCCAAGGAAATGTTCAGTATATCATTGAACGCGATGTTTATGAAAGTCGTGTTTTAAATAAAACTAAAACGGCTCAAAATAAAATATTTAACGAAAGTGTTACCTGATGAATTGTACGGAAAATACTCGAAAACCCCTACTTAAGTGCTCCAGCTTTAGGTAAAGAAGTGCTAAACTATTTTAGGAAAAAGCTGTAACCTAAAAACCATACGAAGAATCCTCAAGAGAAGCTGCTTTCAATGGCCGCACAGCTCCAAATAAACCATATGTCAGGCTGAAGTTTCTGGGACACCGTAATTTTTGCGGACGAAAATAAATTCAACATGTATAGATCAACCGGATAGAGCTATGTATGGAGGAACTCAAAAACTGCCTTACAACCACAAAATTTACGTAGCAATGTAAAACATGGCGGAGGGCATGTAATGTTATGGGGATGCATGTCGTCTTCTGGAGTTGGAAGTTTGGATTTCATTAATAGTACTACGGATTATACTGTGTATTTGGACATTTTAAAAAGAAAGTGCCTCTATATTAAATATTCGTGACAAGTTTCGGTACTATCAAGATAATTATCCGAAACACAAATCAGGCGTTGTGCAAAGTTGGCTTATTTGATACTGTCCGCACATAGTACAAACCCCAGCGCAGTCTCCAGATTTTAATGTAATTGAGAATCTGTGGTCAGTTTTGGAACGAGAGATTCAAAAATATGAGATTAGAAATCAAGCCGACTTAAAAAAAGTCCTTCAAGAAGAATGGAACAATATTGCTCATGACTACACGAAAAAGTTAGTGGAATCCATGCCCAAATGTATGAAACCAGACGTAGACAGCAAGAGGTATACTACTAAATATTATAACATATAATTTTAGTTTTGTTTAAAAAAAAAGAAGACATTTATTAAGTTTTTTGTTAATGCATCATCTTCGCTGTGAGGTACAATTTAATAGTGAAGTTTGTTTTTGTTGTTAATTATATAAAATAAACCTAAAATATAATAAATGCCGCTATTACCTGGCATTCATGTTTTTAGAAAATATATTTAATTTTTAAATAAAACTTATTATACTATTTCTAACACAGCTGCAACACTTCGGCTGTGAGCCACTGTATCTATTGAGAATCGCCCAAACTTTGGTGGTTTATTTCGCTGTTATTCGTTGTAAAGTAGTTTGCATCTGTACGAGGTGCGTTCAAAAAGTATCGCAAATTTTGATTTTCGCGGGTTACGTATAATCGAATTTCGATTTTTGTGGCGCTATGTTGGTACTCATGTCTGTCACTTATGCCGACAAGCTCGGCCATTTTGAATGTTCACTTAATTGTTGACAGCTGCTTTGCTTGCACGTGTATCAAATTATGTGTGAAAAACTAAGTGCGCGGATGCATTCCGAATGTTGACTGTGGCATACGGAGAAGCTACCTTGGACCGAAGCAAAGGTAATCGGTGGTACAAAATGTTCTCAGAAGGCCGAGAAGATGTGAACGACGAAGAGCGTGCCGGACTTTTGAGCACTTCAACAACAGACGAAAAAATTATTTGCAGGGGCGTGGTGCATCATGAGTTCTTTCCACAGGGTAGAATGGTCAATAAGGAATATTACCTGCAAGTTATGCGAAATTTGCGCGAAGCAATCGGCCAGAAACGCCCGAATTTTGTAGAAGAACAAAAATTGGCTTTTGCACCACGATAACGCCACTGCTCACACATCGTTGCTTGTGCGCGACTTTTTGGCCAAAAACAACACACTAATGATGCCGCAGCCACCGTATTCCCCAGATCTGGCCCCCTGTGACTTTTACGACGTTACGCTATTATTGGCGAGATAAAGACGGCATCGAAGGAGGAGCTGAACAAGATAAAAAAATGATTTTTCGAAGCCCTTGGAAGATTGGAAAAACCGTTAGCACAAGTGTATAATATCTTATGGGGACTACTTTGAAGGGGACAAAATAGATATTCATGAATAAATAAATAATTTTTGAAAAACACAAAATTCGCGATGTTTTTTGAACACACCTCGTATATGAATTCATTTTGAGATATATTGTATATGAATGAGTGTAGATGTGATTTTGCCTTCATTTAACTCGACATTTTCTATAATAAATGATTAAATATTGTTCGTACAAGAAATAAACAACAATCCAAAGAAAACTTTACAAGAACAAAAAAAAAGCACATACATACCAAACCAAATATACTCAGATTTTTACGCGTCAAAACAAAGTGTACAGTTTGGGAATATTAAGAAATTTATAAGCTAATACTTTGCCTGTCTTCCCTTTGCACTCATAACTGCTTCCAACCTCCTTGACCTCCGGCGAAATTATAGACTGCTCCTCTAGTAAAATTTTTTACAGTGTCCTCAAGCCGTGCTTTACAATGGATGTAATGTTTTTCTGTTCAAACTCTTGATTTTTGTTTCGCCGAACTTTAGTATTTTTTTTCTTCCCGAAAACCTCAAACTTGCTTTCGTCAGAAAAAATTACATTATTCCAACACGAATTATCCTTAGTTTTATATTTTTTTTTTTTTTTGCAAATTCCGATCACTGATATTGGTTCTGCTTAGAGATGTGAGGCTTTTTCTTCGGTACCCGATCGTACAGACCATTCGATTGCAGTTCTCGTCTGATCGTGCTGGCACTAACATTCAGTCCGGATGTTCTGGACATTTCTTTCGATAATTTGACTGAATTTTAAGTTGGATCTATCTTCGTAGCTCTCACAACTGAGCGTATTTCAGTATTTTTAAGCCGTTTTGGCCTACCCGAACGTGGTCAATCTTATATTTCACCACCATTGCTAATCAATGATTATTTTTACCGCATTATGAAGCAATATCACGTAAAGATTTTTCTTCCTTCTTAATATTTACCACTAATTTCCTTATATCAGGTGAAGTTTGCTTACCCACTGTCAAATTGATATGCTGTCCGCTAATTTCCAAACCCAAATAATATTAGTTTCCTATCAGTACAAGAATACTGAATAAAAGTAAAATAAGTAGTTGCAATGAAAAAACTATTGATAACGGTACTTTTTTCTGCGTAAAATGAAAATGCTGAGCCTACTACTGTATTTGTACACTTTGTTTTGACGCGTTAAATACTGAGTATATTTGATTTTGATTGTAGTTTTTGTTCTTGTAAAATTTTCTTTGGATATGGATTGTTATTAATTTCTTTATTCTTGTTTCTTTATGTTTATACATATACATATTTACGAAATAGATCGGCCGTAAAGCGCGTGTGTGGATTTTTTTTTTATCATATGTTTGTTTACATCCACACAATATTCTCATTCGTATGATGTTTAAACAAACATCTGCATAATCCACCATCCGGTGGTGAGTTTTTATTTACATGGTACTCCCATAAGTTTAATTAACCATGGGCTACGGAGACGTTCGTGAGTGTTTCCAGCAAAATTAGTATACCTCGCAAAAAGGAGACGGGATAACAAGAAACGCATACAGATATGTATGTACATACATATTCATATGTATATATTATATATCTACATACATAATGTTTGTATAATACACACAAAAAGTGCACAAATTCATATGCACATACATTCATGTATGCTCAAAAAACGATTTGAATCAGAAACCAAAAATAACTGTTATAATTTTTTTAGTGATCGAAAACATTGCCTTTAGTTTAAGGTACACTTTTTTAGATCAATGAAATACAAGATTAGTTTTATGCCTTTATTCCAGACACTTTATTAAATTAGAATTATTGGTTACATTTACAATAATCTGTGATTTTTAATGAAGGTGATGGCTGGTCGTTCTCTATGTAGAACACATCCGTTGTCCTTTACTGGTAGAATCGCAATGCCAAGTAAGAAAATTAAGTTTGTACCGTACGTCGTGAATTCGATAAACCGTAATTCATGTTTTGTGGTAGTTAACGAAAGATATCGTAGTGGTAAATAGAAATATTAGGGTGGTACCATAAGGAGGAGTAACTTAGGCTTTTGGTCTAAACAGAATTTGTTTACGATTTCTTACCAACGTTTTATTTTAGCCCATTCGTCAAATAAGAACTATCAAAAACTTTTGCCATACGGATATGACATAGTAATAACTCCTCTACAACTTTGTAGATTGGCTCCGAATTATTGGAAACGCGTTGTATTTTTGTAGGAACACAAATTTAACAAATTAATTCAATTTTATTAAATCGCAGTTGTCGCAAAGGAACATGAAATTCATAATGAACAGTACTGAAGTATCTCGATAGTCATATTTTGGAACGGTGTTTACTAAAAACTAAAACTAAATGCGTAACTAATTATTTTTTACCATATAGATCATGTATGTTTGATTTGCATTTATATTCGAACAAATAAATTATGAAATTTGCTGACGAAAATTATATATTTCTTCAGAAGTTATCAAACACACTGGCAGCTGGCAACATTTCGCCGCTCTCAGTTACGTCAACAATTGTGTATGTATCTCGCTCTTGACGTCGCCTGTTATGGGCGGATAGTAAGTAAAATGTGTAGTTGCAACATAAGCCGCTTCCGAACGCCCGATGAAATTTTGTGAAGATCTTTTCTTTCATGTCAGAAATACATTCAGAGGGAACAACATTCCTTTGGCCAAATTTTCTATAATTCCTTCCGCATGATAGTAGGTACGGCTAATTACTCGCCTATTAGCGCCTAGGACTCTATACTTATGTATGTATATGTATACACAGGAAAATTCTGGAAATTTTGGTAAAGTGTCAAGTGATCAATTATTATTACTATGTGTTTTTGTCAAAGCAAAATATGAATGTTTCGAAAAATATGTATGGGTAGATGTAGAATAGTCAGCTGATGTGTCTGCCTTTGTTATATATATATTTTTATGTTTATGTATGTGTATGTATAGACACATTTAATATATATATATATGTACATATATACCTACATAAGCAGTTTTTCAGTAGGCATGGATGTATATGCCAAACATCTACCGATTATCTATTGTATTGTTAATTGTATTGTTTTACAAAAGACAGTATAGAATATTTTTAACTTCTCGAAATTTCATTCATTTGTATTTCTAACCTTTGCCACTGTTTTCTTACTCTTGAAAATAAAAACAGCTGATCGCAGTGTGAGAAGATTTACAACATGTACATATGTACATATATTTTAACGAAGATCCATGCTTACATTCGTTGTATGTATATATGTATGTATGTATGTTTGTATGTCTAGTATCCACGGAGAAAGAAACCTTTTATCTCGATTTGAGTGTATATTTTGAATGCGTCATAACTTATTTACATACATACTCGCATGTACATATGTATGTATATATGAGCAAATGGCGTTTTACAGTCTGTTGTGTAATATAACACATGGAATGTAAGTTTGTATGTATGCAATAACATAGAATGAATAATATTAAGCAGTTCTTACTTTGATTATCAGCAAACAAACTCTGTACACAATAAAGTACTGCGTACTTTCCATTAGCGTTGACAAAAATTATAGGTCGAAAATATTAAGGTGACTTGAAATACAGTTTGATGACCCCATTCTGAAAATGAGAAACGACTTAAAATGAAAATGTTTCGAGGTCGTTACCGGGGTGAGGCCACATGCTGCGGAGCTTCGAAGTAATGGAATGAAGACGTAAATCAATGACGGTTGCATTGTTCATATACAAATACAAAAACACTCCAGTCTTCTAAATATTTATATGAAGAATGAATTATTAAAAATACTGGAATCTATGTACATAGTAGCACTTATGTATGTAATTAAGATGATATCATTTGCCAGACGAATGCTGTAGATTTACATAAAATTGCAGAATGGCAAAAAAAAAAAAAAATAAATAAAAAAGAATCGAAAATAGTATATTGCTTACATACATATTTACATACTTGTGTACGAATTTGCATTGCTTGTAATTTGTAAGGTTCCTACTCTTGATTATATGCAGGTCAAAGGATTGTACATATATATGTACATATGTACATACATCATGCATACAAAAGCCTTTATACCTCCATGATCAAAGTAATTACCACACTTGTCAGGCAAAATCTCGCATAGATGTGGTAGTATTAAGACTGCAGGAAAGTGCAGGGATAAAACCAGAGCCAACCGCTTCATGGTGCCGATAATAGCAGCAATGTGATGGGTATATACAAAAATGTATACCTGTGTTAATATGTACGTACGTATGTATGTATGCGGAAACCCAGACTACAAACATGAGTTGCCTGAGTAGCCGCAATCTCTGAGCGTTCGCAACGTGGTTGGAGAGTTGAGTGAACTGCTAAACTACTATTCTTCTGTAGTATCTACTAAATATCTCTCCAAATGTCAAATTGAGTCGTCGATTCGCGCAGCCATATGTTTGACGATAGCATAGAGCTGCTTTGTCTCTCTTCGTGAGTTCAATCCGTGTGAACGGCAAACGTTACGAAGTAGCTTTTGAAAATACAATATTACTTTCAGTCTTTAATTTGAGTTCGCTGTGGTAACAAGTATTGGAAAAATAAATATGACTTAAACATATATTATGAAATTTGTGTAAAAAGTTTCACTCTTTGCTATATGCAATAGTGAGCAGTGCAAGGCAAGAAAATATAAACATTCGAGGTGGAAACGTCTTGCTGTATATAAGCATTTATAACTATGTAAACATATATATATGTATATAGAAAAATTAAACTCTGCACTCTCGCAAGCAGTGAAAAGGAATTATTTTCAATATAGCAAAAGCTGAGAAGAGTTTATTGAAGCTATAGAGTAGGGGAGCAGTGAACATTAATATATATAAATAGTGGATACACACACGTGAAAGTATTTACTATATATGAGAATGAAAAAAAGTATCATGCTAAGTGTATAACGCATTAAAGTAAAGAGCAAATGAAAAAATGAAAAATTAGTATACCCACTGTGTAAAAAAAAAATAGTCAATAGTGTTTCGTAATTAAACTGAATCCGTAATTGTTTCATCGGTCATTACGGCAAAACAGCAACAAATATAAGGCTTCAAAAGCTACATGGATAGCTTAAATCTGGATAAATGTAAGCAAATTTCAAACTAATTTAAAATCCTTACGTACAGAAATATTCCAAGGTTAATAATATTCAATATAATTAAGAAATCAGTCAATAATTTAAATTTAGTAGTGATATTCGAGAAAATTTTATATATACACATATATGCATCTACAGTAATTTTAAAAGGCAAGCACAAGGTGAGGAAACAGAAAAATGTATATATTAGTATACAAGTTGAGAGCTTGCATATGTGGATACTTGTTAAACATACATACATACATACATACATATATAGATACATATGTCTGCTTACATGTATAGTATTTGTTATATACTTATTGTTGTATTTGTACATAACACAGATACGACATTTTGTTTTGCCGAGGTGTTCACCACACTCTTTCCGCCGCCCCCAACATTACCATTTCGTTATTACTGTTGTTGGCTGCTATTGCCGTCAGTCTTGTTCGACATCGCAATCATCTGAGCGCACCAGACATCGTTTTCTACAACAATTTTATTTTAATTTTATTTGCAATGCGATGCGCAGTTGCAATATTACATACTGCTACATCGATTTTATATTTGTTAGAATTTGTAGGTTTTTCTCAATTCAATATTATCAACAACAGAGTGCTGTAAAATGATAAAAATGAATTTTTGTAAAGCGCTTAAGTTAGTTTTAAAGTGCAATTCCTCAACACATGGCAAATTAATATGTTTGGATTAAAGAAAAATCGTCAATAACGCGTACACATACATACATACACATCTACATATGTACATTTAACGCTCCAAAATATTTGAAAAGCTACCTGTAACATAAAATGCTCTATTTTGAAAAAAAAAAATCACTTTTATGTATACATAAATATATCAAAATACATACTTCTGATATACGTTGTATATAAACATATGTATGTATATGCATATAATATACATATATGTACATATATACATTCATAGCTCTGATTTTAAAATTCAATGCTCACAATGCCTTTATTTATTGGCAGTTCTTTTTGAAATTGCTTGAACGTTTATATTATATGGAATGCCATAATATGCTTTTTGAGTGAGGCATGCATGAAATACCTAAGAAAATTTTCATGTTTTGAAATCATAGATGCATGCATGAGGTTGTGTGTATGTGTTTATAATTATAAATATATGTTTTTATATGTATCTATAAATATTACTTATGTATATATGCATTAATTATTCAGGGTTGTAAATTTCAGATAGAGTTCATCATATTTATTATTTTAGCAATACGATAAATTTTTATGTGAATTGCGTTACAAGGATTGAGACTTTACCATTTTTTGTAAAATATTTAAACCAAATTGTACATATTTAAATTTCCTTTGGTAACGTACCGCGTCTGTTTGATTGCCTTTTTTGTATGGTGCTTTATAATTAAACAAAATCAGTAAGGATCGTAAGGATGCCTTAAAATCTAGAACATAATGGTTATATTATAGCTTTCAACAGCACAACAACTCAGAAGTTCTGAAATTACGGATCCAGATGACTTTCTTTTTACATATTCCAGATCTCAATTACATTAAGAAGCTATGGAAGATAGTTGATAAAACGTTTGATCTTAGCAATTTGTCAAATATTTTTCCAAGCGAGGTTGCATAGAGATATATACTATTAGGTGTGTGCATTAATTCGCGTCGTGTTCATCTGTGGCTATATTTATTTCAAAGGTACCGTCATTTCGCGTCGTTTTCGGTAGATGTCATTTGTTTTAGCGTTTATTGTTTGTTTCATTCATGTCGAAATTTGTACCAGATAAAGTGTTTTTGCGGGGAGTTCTTCTTCATTACTTTAACATGAAGAAAAGTGCTACCGAAAGCCTTCGTATTTTACTGGACGATTATAGTTACCATGCTTTAGCCGAACGAACGTGCCAAGAGTGGTTTGCACGGTTTAAAAGTGGCAATTTCGACTTAGACGACAGACATCAAATCATTTTTTTCACAATAAAGTCTTAATTTTCGAAAAAAACCGCACGAATTAATGCATACTCCCAATACATGACTTGATTCAAAATTTTATTAAGCCTGTGCAGAGGTGATTGTGATTATCCGACACGCAAGAAATTGATGTGTCAAAATTCATGAGTAGTAAAATTTTTTATATTTATAATAAAAAAATATGATACCTATAAATGCAGCTGTCAATTAAAATTATTAATCACATTCCCACGTCTGTTTGATTGCCCCCACATACCACTATGGGTTGTATTGACCATATATCGCGAGTTTTTCTACCGCTGTAACTGTTTTATCAATTATGGAGAGTTCTTGAGCGAATATTATTTGTTTTTTTCTAATGATGGGTTCGTTATTTTTTTGATTAGCTTTTATTTGACCACCTCCTCCGAAATTAGCGATGGTTTATTTTACGTAAATATCGTTTTGAAGTAAAATAAGCTTCATCAAAATTGCTTGGCCAATGTCGGTCCAGATTCAGGGCACTATTGTCCCAAAACTACCATATTCGTCAAAAACCATTTGTAAATTCTAAATGCAAAAATGCAAATTAAAAAAAAATCTTATCAATTTAGTAGGATTTGTTTTGCAATCATTTTTTTTATACTTATCTTAATGTGTTATTGTAACTCGCAAGTTTTAAAAATAAATGGTCTCTATACAATTATTTGGATATTTATATGTTATACACGCACACTCATATAGATGTATGCATATACATATGTACGTACGTGCTTGCACATATATCACTGTATAATTCGATGCTTAACGATAAAGTATATTTGCTGGCCACAAAGTTTAAATTATTTGAATTCTCAATGTTCCTACATACATACATACGTATCTTCTCGAAATGAGTTGTTTTTTGTTTGTCCTATCTGTAAATAGACTATATATAAATATGTTAATATGTCGAAAGAGTTCAGGATATATTAAATGTTTATGCTTCCTATTGTGTTAAACTATTCAATAAAACACTAAAATTATTAGATCTTTTAAAATTCAAAATAATATGAAATAATTCTTATCTATTCTCTCCTATATTCTTAGCATTATTTATTTAAACATATTTACGTATATTTATCTATCAGTTATTTTTCTAAGCAGCATTTCATTTGTTAAATTTCTTTTGTTTTCATAATTCATAATGCATTTTATTATGATAATGCTACATTCATACATATATATGCATTCATACGATAAACGTTTTTTTCTTCAGCTTCATGTTCAATTTTCTTACTATTCGTTCAAACTATTCAGTGTGTCAAAACATATAATAGAAATTCATGGTGTTCAATTAATGAAAAATGGACTAAGAGTGATAATTTTTATAAGTCAAGTTTAGTAAGTCGTATTTCTCTAGTGAGCGGGTGTTTCATTTATAATGAACGGATAACAAATTATAGTTTTTTCTCTCATCCAATGTGATTTTATTATTTTTTGATTATTTTTGAAGGTAGTATTTTTTTTAAATTATTTGCAAGAAAATTCTGAAATTTTTATTTAAGACTTAGAGATTCCGTATATATTACCTACTAAAATATTTTATTAGGAATTTGATTTATCCCCCTCTCCATATAGAATAGTGATACAATGGACTGTTCGTACACTGGGAGAAATATTTTTTCAATACATTTTCAGTTGACGGATATATTGTACGTACTTTGAAATTTTGCTTAATTTTCATTAAGTTAACCGAACATCCGAATTCATTAAATACTGTTTCGTTAACAAAATATGTATTCCGATTTAATTATTTACTAATTATCAATAATACTAAACCCTATTCAAACCCATTACTTATATTTCCTCATTTAAAAGTATCACATTTTACTTTTTAAGAGATTATAATTTAATTTAGTTTTTATTTCGGATATAAAATTAATAGCAGTTTTCTTATTTTAACAAAAAAAAACTGTATTACTGTCCGGTTAATAGATGGTGCCCGTTCACTTGCACACTCACCTTATGTCTTTGTAATCATGTTTAATTTGCTAGATTCATATACTCGCACTAAGTCTAGATGGGCACATATCCATATGCCCTATGAATACCACATACGTATCATATGTACATGTGTATGTATGCATGTGTAGACAGATCTATGTGCATACTATGTACAAATTGATTGCGTTAAGGGGTTTTCACATGCAGGAATACCATATATTCGATGACTTATTGTTTGCTTTTGACTTTGCATTCTCACTTATTTTGTTTATTGGAAGTGAGGGTAATTTTTTTTTTGCTTATTTCAAAGGGTGACATTTAGTAAAATGCTTCAGTTTGATATTATAAAATAGCCTCACAGAGTTATTACTGAATATTAAGTGGTATATGAGTTTTTCGATACTTATTTCTAATTACACATATATGTACATATATCCATACATAACAATATTGAAGTTATCTAATATTTGGCTTAACCTGAGAGTTTAGTGACCTTGTGACCAACGGTCCCGTTTTAATCTGATCGGACCAAAATTGGTTGTTTCACTTGCCTTTAGTAGTTTGGTTGGTGGACAGAAGGTTTTGGTACGAAACTATATGTATGAATGACACTATATATATATATATATATTTTTTTTTTTTTTTTTTTNCGAAAAAGTACTTTGGGGAATAATTTTGCGGTTACAACAACAACAATGACACTATTTTTATTATTTCCAAAACAATGATTCATGTTTTTTTATGGAAAAAATGAGGATATAATACTTACTATTTTAGAAGTGCGTGGCGTAATATTTATCGGCTATCTTGAGAATGGAAATGCAATACAATCTGGGTCAGCTCCGGTGCTTAGAACTGGCTGCCGTGAGAGTTGTAATGAAGCTACTGCTGCGAGTTAGGGGCTCAAGCATGTTGCCGCCGTAAGGAATGCATACCTTTCGTAAGTGGCGACTAAAATCCAATAAATCACCAGACAGTCGGGTCTTTATACCGAAACGATTCGAATTTTTATACAGGCCAAAGGCTGTCACTCCCGCAATATTCTCCGAAAACCAATTCGGGGAGTATTTTTCGATT